ACAACTGCTGTGAACTGGCATTGCTTAAAAAGAATTCTGTTGTTCTCCTCATGCTGAACTCGGGTGGTTTGGCTGCACAGGGAAGGTCTGGCGAAGTCTTTGATGTCAGCAAAGGAGCTGGCATCCCATATACAGCACAGACTGAACTGTGAAGCTGTGGGTTTCCTTGTATTCCTGCATTTACTAAAGAAGGCTGAAGCATGACAACAATAAAGCCTGTGAAGTCGTTCTTCTTCTGCTTAGCGAAACAAGGGCTAGGGGCTCTCAGCAGGGCATGGACTGGGCCATAGAGCCCAAACCTGACCTACCTGTGAATGCTCCTCAGAGAGGAGCCTGATGGAGGCTTCTCAGGCAGACGTGTCAGGTGCTCCTTGCTAGCTGTGAAGGTCACTGGGTGACTTCTGTAGTTCCCAGTTAACAGATCAGACATTGAAAGCTCGGCTCAAGCCCTGCCCTGCAGTTGATGTCTTTCATTTATGCAACGGGACTTGAATTTTCTTTCCTTTTTCAATAGAGATTGATCCTCCCAAGAACCTCCGTGTATCAGATGTGACTTATTCTACTGGCGTGGTTACCTGGACTCCTCCTGCAGCACAGATTGATGGCTACACTCTGATCTACCAGGATCAAGATGGCACGAGCGAGGTACGGTGAATCCCTCAGCCCTGCAGACGCCACTGAAATCACACCTGTGATAATGGCCTCTGCCAGTTGAGTCTTGTGGGTATATGGTCCACAGAAAAACAATTTTGAGGGGGAATCTCTGCTATCCATAGCCCAGGGAGAGAGAGCTTAAGGAAAGAGATGTGCTATTGTCATGAGTAGAAGCTGTGGAGCGACTTTGTGACAGTGGAATGCCTCTTCCCAAGAGATCTCCAGGTGCAGAGAACATGTTTGCTTCTTCACTTCACTTTTCTAACTTGTTATTACATCAAAGGGCAGCACTCAGCAGGGATAGAGCATCCTCAGTGTCCTAACAGTGTTTCTTGAGACCTTGCTCCAAATCTTCCTTCTGAGGAGATGGATTCCATGTTCCACGGATATGCAGTGAATGTGCCTGTCTGAACTCTACAAGAAAAGCCTGTAAAAACATACAGAGTATGAGGCACTGTGGTCCAGAAAAGCTAAATACTATTCAGAGTTGGACTGACCTTTGATCTGTTTTATTTGACAGGAAGTACAGCTGAGTCCTAGTGAACAAAAATTTGTGCTGGAAGGACTGGAACGAGGAGTGAGGTATACCGTCTTTGTGATGGCTTATCAGGGAGATCTCCAGAGCAGAAAGACGGACACTACCTTCTCAACAAGTAGGATTTGGCCTTGGTTGTCACCCTTTTCCCTGTGCTCTGCAGCTGTTGTGCTTTATGGTAGAGGTCAGAGGTACAATTCATGTTCTACAGATGCTCTGGGAAACTATGTGATCGTAAGCAAACCATCTAGCGAGTCAATGATGTGTCTCCTGGCTGGGAGTCTGTTCTAAGCCACTCCATCTGGAGGCATGGAAACACACTGGGATAGTGTGAGTGGAAATTGCCCATGGTGGTCAGTGCTGCTGTCAAACCTTGCTAGCCAAGCGTGGGACAAAGCCTCCTGGTGAGCTGCCAGCAGGCAGGAGAGATGATGATACGCTAGAGATTTTTCTGCACCATCCCAGTAACGATAGGGCACAGCTGTTTAAGTACTGTCGTGGCATTGGGTAGCTGCCCAGGTTATTTTCAGACGTCAGGAAATGCACACCAGAATGGCAGGAAATTAAACAAAATCTCACGCCAGCTCATTGTGAGAGCCTCTCATACTGTGCCCACAGGAGTTGCCAATTGTGGACAAAGTGTGAAATGCAGAGAAATTAAGTCCTTGTTTACTGGCACTCCCACCTTCACAAACAGAGGCTCTTCTTCCCTTCTTGCTGCGACCCAAGACTGCATCTTAGAATCATAGAATGGTTTGGGTTGGAAAGGAACCTTAAAGATCATCTAGTTCCAACCCCCCTGCCATGGGCAGGGACACCTTCCACTAGGCCAGGTTGCTCAAAGCCCCAT